TAATATACATTTCTTCATGGAAAGGATATATTATCAAATAAAGTTTTTCCATGGTGTTACAGAAGAATGTAATTTCACAACAGTTCCTTATCAGTTTAAATTAAAGTTAGTCGTTCATGTGCAAGCAGTCACTTGCATGTTCATGTGAGCTGTGTGTAACATATAAGAAAATTATGTATGCTTTTTTGAGGAAATAGCTTCTCCTTGTTACTATCTACAGGTTTAATAACAAAGCTGATTAATTTTCTAAAGCTGATTAGTTTTCATTGTCACGTCAATTTTATTTTATCAGTTCATTTTCAGTACTGAATATAATACAGAATATAGAGATTTGGTAGATGTTGAACCACTTGGTAACAAACTAAATCTAGGGTGTAATTTTCCAGCAAAATTTTCATGTTTTAATATATATGCAAATGTGCATATATGTATTTAGTGTATTGATGGTTTTGTGCTTCTTGAAACAGAGAAGTGTGTCTATTGTTGAATGCAACCTCTATACAGACTTAAATGCATTGTATAAATTACTATAATTCTTAATTCTGGGATATATATGCAACATAAATGAACAAGGATTTTCATTAGCTGTTGGAATTTCTTTACTCTCAAATTCTGAGCTGAAAAACTAGTGAACTGAGCAGAAGCAAGGTCATACCTACAATACATTGATTCACCTTGATCACTGACTCCCTTTGCAGCAAGTCATTGATTAATTAAAATCGATTTTGTTTATGTTTTGGCTTATCACTCCATCACAGCAATCTCAGTTTAAATTCACCATCACTTTATCATGAAACCTGAAGAGGAAGACAGCCTGAAGACCAAGACTAAGTATTGGCTGGTTTTTAGTTAAAGAAGTTGTTTAATAGTAGACATACTTTTGCAAAGAGCCAAGTTCTAGTTTGGTAACCTGTTCCATCTTTAAAGCAGAAGATACTGAGTGACTGGCATTTAGAACTACCTTTGTTTCTCAGCCTATGCAGACATTACTAGGTAATGCAAATTCAGACTGCCGCTTCAGCTCTGATCAAAGCAAACAGAAATTTATGGTTTGGTACACACAGTTATGCAGTTATCTACTTTCAAAAAATGAAAACAAATCTCCAAAGCTGTATTTTTTTTTTCCTTTTGCAGAAGTCATACTTTTGTTTGAATAGATGAATAATATTGGACAGAATTACGACACATTAACTACATGACACTTGGTACATTCTGCAGGATGTCAGACCACCTGAAATATATTTTAGTAATGTCAATGTCTTTGCGTGTATAAACATTCTTAGAATTGAGGTTGGAGTTATCTGATCTGTGTCCTTTTGCTAAAGGACTGACTGACAAATTCTAACCAGATAAGCAATTTCTGGACAGGAGAAGGGGAAAATTTTCACTTCTTCTTCGTTCAGAAAAAAAAAAAAGTTAAAAATTGCTGTTCGTATGTATTTGTGAATAGATGTTAATTACAGTAGTACAAAATGGATCTCATGGTTAATTTTATGTAATTATTTATGATGCTACTGGTGGAAACCAGTTATTAGTAATTGACACTTAGAATGTGTGGACTTTTTTGAGGAACAATAGCGAAGGTGGTTTCTTGTGCAAAGCCTAGTGGTATGCAAATTTATTACTTTTCCATGTGCTCAGTAAGTCATAGAAGCATTTTGATCAACCTGAACTTATCCCCATCGTTTGCTCACTGAAGCGAAACCTGGTAAAATTTAGAGAACATTGATACGACTGTTGCATATTATGATTTTGATCTGAAGAGGTGTAACGTGTGATGGAGAGAGAGGTGTGAATCTGTAACAATACTTCATGGTGATCAGAATTTTGAAGTGGACTTCTTCCTTAAATTAAGCACTTTAGATAATCTGAGAAACTTAATCTAAATTAGCCCTTCTCTAGTGAGGTGTTAGACCACTGCTTACAGAGGTTCTTTCCAGCCTGGGATTCCTTCCACTCTAAAGCTATTTTATTTAACTCCCTCCTCCCCCTGCTGCCCCTGCGCCCCAAACGAAAAGCACTAGAAAAATAAATTTCTAAACATGGAAAAGTCAGAGCTGCTAGAGGAGAAAGTTTGTATTTAAAACACTTACTACATTTAAAACATTTAAATGTATTAAATTCCTGGTTGACAAACTGTATCTGAATGAACTTGTGTGCAGGTTTTTTCTTTTGCTTTGAGAATTGGCTGTATATAACTTAACTAACAACTCATCACTGCCCATCGCATGAATCTCTGCATCTCGTTGAGCTTGCAGGCTTCTCCTTGTCATACTAAAAAAGGTATATTGAAGTAAATGGATTAAATTCTATGTAAGAGAAGTGAAGATCAGGCTTAAATGGCTCTGGCACCATGTGTATTTAAAAACAAAGGGGAAGAACAAAATGAGTTTACTGGGAAAAAATTTTACAATGTCAGAATTTGTGTGAGACGAGACTCAAGAAAATAAGATACTGCTGAGACATGGTCAGCAATTTCATTATAGGGTAACAACTCCATAAAACTAATTTCTATTAGCATCTTCAGGCCAGAAAAGCAATTTCAGAGCTCAGCTAGAATGATCTTACATCAGTAAGTACGCTATAATACTGAGTCATCTTAACGGCAAGTCATTGTCTTATTTGCACATTATATAGATTCCAGAAATTCCTTATGCTCATTCCACCTGCACTTGAATGATAGACTCTTCAAAACTCTGCTCCAAAACATTCTACAATATACTATTATTACCACTTTTTAGAAACTCTATTAAAGTTGTTTGTCCTATGTAGCAAATACATAGTTTGTTAAATGTTGCAGCACAAATGAAAGGATACATTGGGAAATTAGGGGAATAATGTAAAATATTGATGTTGAATGCTGCATACAGACCTTAAGACATTATCAGTGTTTGTATTTTGGGATAATGGCATTTAATGATTGATAAAGACTTTGTGAAGCGAGTGTAAATTCTGAAAGGAATGCTTATTTTTTGAATTCTAGAAGATTAAAATCTTCATTTCATTATGCTAGAAACTCTTGCCCTTTTATGTATATGGATTTAAAAAGAAAATAGCTCATTTATGTAAGTAATTCTCATTTTAAGTTGTTATGTATGTTGTCTGAAGGCATAATTTTACTTGTTAGAAAACTATGAATTTCAATTGATACTATGTATATGCCTCTATGGAATGATGAATATTTTAATGTAGTAGGGCAGATAAATACAATTTCAGCTATATATAAGTAATTTAATGTAATCCACTGATAAGTGCAAAGTAAGTGGCAAATCTCAATTTTATTCTAAATCTTGGTATTTATAAATTAAGGTTTTAGTATTTTATTTTTAAATATCTGAAATATGCATGTTCAAAGATTGATACAGGAACTAGATGATGAAAAATGTTCTAAATATCTTTATTTTTATCTTAGATACATTCCGATTTTCCCCCTAAATATAGATGCTTCTGATGCCAATTTTTATAAATTCATGGACAGAGGGATATAGTAATGAGTGCTTAATTGTATTGTTTATATTTTGCAACTTATTACAATGAAGTTTAAAAGGCAGAAATTTTTTTACTAATGAGTTTGAAAGCTGAGAATTTCAGAGAGCATTTTGCAGAAATGGAAGCAGAAGCAGCAGGGGAAAAAGAAAATGAATTTGTTTAGCATTAATTAGCTAATTCTGTCTACCTCCTACTTGACTATACATCTTAAAATTGTTTAGAGAAGTTTCTTGAATTCCCATTCTGTGCTGTTAAAACCATTATTGATTGTTATGCGAAGCTAGATAAGGAACTCTGTAACTGCTTATTAGTCTGAAATGTAATAGCTGTCCATTTTAGTAGTAGTAAGCAGGCAGTGAAGTGCCACCTAAAAGAAAGCCCTATAACTTGCGCACACTTGCAAAATCACACAAGTGAAAAACCTGCCTTTGAATTCCCATTTTAAAGGGCGTGTCACTTAATTCCTTTGGTGAAAATCACTTTGTCACTCCCAGCTTTTATTTCAAGGGTCAGTAGCTGTGCTGCTGTCATAGTATTCCAGTTGCATAATGGGACTGGAAAAAGCAGTGCTGCTTTTAGAACATAATTGTTCAAGTGATCTCTGAGTTCAGTACGGGCGGCTGTTGTGTATCTGCTTTGACAATAATCGACACCAGTATAACTTCATAGCTGGATGGGACACTGACATATCATATCACTCTTGTTTTATCAGCTTCCACCCCCTTACAAACTTCTAAGGCAGTGGCTTTTGGTGAACAGCTGCATACCTGTGTATAAATAAGTTCTTCCACATGCTAGTCTGCAAGTGATGTTTTTCTCGGTTAGTGGACAAGTTTTGGAAAACAAAATTATTTTTAATTCTCTATATACCTTTGACACAGCTGAACACTAAAAATAGTCTGTTTTGGCTCGCTGATATCATGTTAAGAGGTGACTAAGGGCTTGGCACTTTGTAAGTAAGTGTGGTTCTGGCGTTGCATTATGTAACGATTTGTAAAAGAGCTTTTGGAATAATTAGGTTAACTAAACAATGGGGCTGTTTCGTGTCACTTTTCATGCATTCAGAGGATTTGTGTTGAGGACTCACTGTGCCAAAAAAAATAAATTTGTTTATATTTAGGTTACTATTGTTTACAAAATCCCAGTAACAGGTCTTTACTGTAAAACATTAAACACGCTTTACTAAGTTAAGCCGAGTAATGGTGTGTTTACATTTTTTTATGACACCATAGCAAACCCCTGCTAAAGCAACAGAAGGACACACCACTTGCGAAAGCCCTGGAGGCAGCGTGTAGTCTTTGTCACTTTGATATAGTCTTGAATATAAATCTGTACATAAACAGCCATTTACATACGCATCAAAAGAATCTCTGCATAGGTACATGATATCAGTTATAGGAGTATAATGTGTTCATTTTCAACAGATTCTGTGTTCCAGGGTTTATTAGCATTATAGTGTGTATGTAACTTCCAAATATTTACTTTTTTTCTCCTACGTTGTTTTGTGACAGGATGACGAAGTAGTACTTCAGTGTGTTGCCAGTGTTCACAAAGAACAAAGGAAGTTCTGCTTGGCAGCTGAGGGACTTGGGAATCGCCTGTGTTTTTTGGAACCAACATCAGAAGCTAAAGTAAGAAGTCAAAACTCTCAACTGGTGTCACTGATCAGTGAATGTTAACCTACTTATTATCCATGAATGCATTTAATTGTGGTTTCTTTTACGTGATGCTAGGTGCACCTTTTGTATGCTCTTCTTTCTGTGACTGCAACATGAGATTTCTTAGATTCTAAATATGCTTTGGGGCATACCTGTTAACAGTCAAAAGTCACTATTCTTCAACTATCTAAAATAATTCCTGTAACTGAAATACTTCATATTTTCCTGTAACATTCAATACTTTATAATATTTCATGTTATTAAGATTTAAGTTCACTAAAAAACTTATTCTTATTACTGCCATAGGTTCAAATATCTTCATGTACTGGACTGATAATTTTAGAAGCATTGTCACCTGTTAGTTACTGGCGTTCAGTGTTGCTCCTAACTCTGTTGACTAATCAGAAAGTTGAGAGTACAGGGAATAGAATTATTAAGTAATTGAAAAGTTTTAAAGATAAGTGGCAAATGGAAAAAAAAAAAAGCGAGAGAGCTGTGAAGAAAAAAGAAAAGAAAAGAAAGTAGTAAAAGGAGCTTGAGAAGAGAGAGGAGAGAAGAGATGAAACTTTAGACCTGTACTAGAGCAGAATGTTAAGAATAAAGGCAAACAGAGGAGGGTCTGCTCCATCTCATCTTTGTTCGCTCTGCATCACTTTTTTTTCTTTGTTTTGTGTCTTTATTTCTTTTCGCTTCCTTCTGATAATTTATTTCTCCTTCTGATTTTTTTTTTTTTTAAGTGGGGTCTTTGTATCATTTCTTTTGAATTGTTGCCACGCGGTCCTATTTTTATTCTAGGTATTATGACCATGTTACATCCACGGTGTCTATGTGTGCAGATCTGAGCACAGTACTCCAGGTGTGGCCTTACCAGTGGTTATTCTTGTGGCCTTGTTTTTCGTCTTGCTGCATTTTGCTGTCTATTTTAAGAAACTACAAGTGAAAATTAGACAAGTGTGTGTTACTGATTGGCTTAGGGTGGATAGCTGTCATTGACTGATGACGATTAGGTATGCACATACCTTAGCAATGTTAAGAAATAATATCAAATTGAGAAAATACTATGTTTTATCAGTAAATCACAGTGTACCTTTCAGGAGAAAATTTTTCTCGTCTCTCCCGTTTAAATGGAAGTCTAAGGCAGATGAGTGTATCTGTGGTCAATCAGAAGTCTGTGAAAATGGCAGCTTGCTGTTCTATTCTGTACTTTCTATGAATTATTTTGAGCTGCTTGAGATTTTTCTTTTCGATATATTTCAAAGTGTGGCCCCTTTTCATTGCTGTAGGTCTTCATTTGTTCTATAACTGCTTGTGTTGCTCCTCTCTAGCTACTGTGTAGCCTGAATCTGTTTCTTCATGTCACCTCTCCTATCGGATTTGACCTATTAATATACTTTGCCTGCTCTCTGCTCTTCCTCCAGAAATCGATTCAGATAAAAATAAAAGTAATTTGACCTGGACTCTGATTCATTTCTGTGAGCTATTTTAAGACTCGGGTTTTTTGCAGATCTATTGAACATTTCTAGTTCAGTAGCTAGTTTTATGTATCTTAACACCTCATTCAGAAAAATGAGGTATATTCAGTGTTATGAATGTGTTGATGCAAAACTGGTAACTCTACATGAAAGACCTATTTGGAAATAGTCTCAGAAATAGACATCTTATAAAAAGAGCAGCTGTCAGGGTAGAACTGTCATTTTTTTCTTCAGATTTACTTTGCAAATTTGTGTAAGTTTCCTGTATGAAATTTGTCTTTTTGTTTATCTTCCCGTATGTATGGACAAGACTGCGCAGAGGTGCGCTGGAAGAACTCCCAAAAACTCTCATTGACTTTGAAGAGCTATGTATTCCAAATCCCTGCTTTCTTTTATCATATATCTTATCAGTCTGCTATATAGATTTACTTACAATAACACTTGTTCGGCATATCTTTAAATGCCTGTAAAATAAAATACTTAATTCTTCACTTGAATTTTTTCCTTTATTTATGATTCTTAAAAATTATGTTATCTTACTTCTGTATGTCCATTTCAACTTCCCGTAACCAGAAGGGGGATAAATACCAATGCGTATTGTTACTTTACAGCAGATTCTAAAACCTTATCTTAGTACCTGAACAGATTTTGGTTTTCAATTCAACATAAAGATTCTTGACATGAATACTTCCCCATCTTCTACCTGTAGCTCTCACATTTCACTGAACAATTTTTTTTTATTATTTTTTTTTGTGTGGGATTCCATTACAATACAACATTGCTCAGAACTGGGGAAAAAAAGCATAGACTAACAGATGGTCGAGATTTTATCAAACCTTTTTAGCTGTGTAGTTATTAGGAGTATAAAATGGTCTGCCACACAGAGATTGTTGAATATCAAACTTATGAAACAGGATCATTTGCAAAAAGACCAGAAAACAAATGAGCCTTGATAGACTCAATAATTACTGTTTTGTTTTTTTTTTTTTGTTTTTTTTTTAAGAAGCAATCTAGATTAATTAAGGAGGTCAGTTGATACTTAGGTCATGTACCATCCACATAAATTATCTTGCCTAGTATTTCTCAGGTCAGTAGAATTTAAAAATGAATTTGTTACCATCCAGCCACAGAAATGGGGTATATGATAGAGTACATGTGTTAGCTTATTGTGTTACACTGCAAGTTTGAAAGAGGGGGCAGCTGCTCTAAGTCATGGGTGGAAAAATCATTAATTTCATAGTTCTCAGTGTCAATATTCTTAAATAAAGCGGAATGCTCCATAAGCTATGAAAAAGAATAAGAAGTGAAAAATCAGTTACATTAACCTAAGATGTACATTTTATGCAAACTGTGACTAGGAGTACATTGTTTTAGTGTGTCTTTCATTAATACAGCACTAAAGTAAGGGCTGCAACAATTTTCAAATCAAAATGCAGCGTATGTGGCACAAGACCAGTGGCCAGCGAAACAGATGTGAGTTCTTTTGTTCAGTTGGGAGGTGTTGGATCATACTGATTATGCCATATTCAGTTTGGAGTGGGATTAAGTGCCAGACCTATGTTATCACCAGCTATGTTATTTTTTCCTAGATAAAATTCCCGTTTAGTTTCTGAATTTAAAAGTTCCACATTGAAAACAGAAAGAATTGATAAAGATTGTGGGGTCTTTGTTTGGGTTGTTTGTTTGTTTGTTTGTCTGTCTTTTTAAAATTCAAATGTACTTCAAGGACAGTGTGATTTAACACATATTCAAAATGTCTTAATAAAATGAATGCTGCATAATCTGAAAGCTGCCACAGGATGACAACAGAAAAAACTCAGCATTATGAAGAATTTTATTCCCTCCTGTCACACTGATTTAAAAAAAAAAAAAAAAAAAAAAAAGGAATGCTCATTCATAGCCATGGTCATAAATCACAGAATACTGAATCATTAAGGTTGGAACGGACCTATGGAGATCGTCAGGTCCAAAACCTCTGCTCAGAGTATGTTAAGCCAGAGCAGACTGCTCAGGACACTGTCCAGTCAAGGTTTGAATATCTCCTAGGATGGAGACTCCACAACCTCTCTGGGCAACCTCTTCCTGTGTTTACCATGCTCATAGTAAAAAAGGTTTTTTTTCCTCAGGTTTAAATAGAATTTCCCATATTTCAATTTGTGTCAATTTCCTCATCCTTTCATTCAGTACCACTGCATAGAGTGTGGCTCTGTCTTCTTTGTACTTTCCTGTCATATATTTATATAGATTGATGATTCCCCTTGAGACTTTTTTTCTTGGACACATCAATGTCAATAAACTGAAAAAAAAAAATAAAAATCTGTTCTTTAAGTGAATGTAAGTTTCATGTTTCAAAACCAGCAGACATATTGGTCCAACAATTAAGAAGGACTCCTAAAATAGTTCATATTATTATATCGTAAGAATCTGAGTCTTTGCCATTTAGTGACAGCTATAAATATGTTCAGAACGTCAACCTTATACGTCAAATAAGATCGTACACCTTCTCTTCTGTTTTGTCAATGGCGTTAGAGAAAAAATACAATGTTCATGGTATAATTCTAAAAGACAGGAAAGCAATTATATGTAGAGAAAAACTTTTTGCTTTTGAACCTGATGATGTTTCGGTTTACTGTGAAGAATACAGCTCTAGGAAAAGTAAAGTTATTGCACTGACAAGTTATGACGAATGGATTTATATTATTTTCATACAGGGAAATATCATGTGTCTCAAACGAGTAAACATTAAGTATGGATTCTAAAATTAAAATACATATGTGTTCAAACACACTTTTCATCCTGTTTCACCTGCTCTGCTGATCTGTTCTTACATCGTTTAATTTATTTTTACAGTATGTTCCTCCAGATCTTTGCATCTGTAATTTCGTCCTTGAACAGTCCCTATCTGTCAGAGCCCTTCAAGAAATGTTGGCCAACACAGGGGATGATGCTAGTGAAGGGGTAAGTAAATTGACATCAAAGAATATTAAATTTCTGAATGTGGATTGTTCTCAATTCTTTCCTTGTTCCAGGATTTTCTAGGAGAGGGGCCTCATGTCTTAGCAGATTCTTCAGTTTTCCTATTTTCATGGATGTTATTCCTCCACTACTATAATTATATTAATTTCTCTTTAGCATTGAGGAGCAGGTGCAGTTAGTCTTTTGAAATATTTACAAGAACAAAATTTACAGAAACATCATCTTCAGAGATCATTTATTACCATCAGTCCAGAACTGGATACTAAAAAAGGAATAAGAGAACCTTTGGACTGAGTTTGGCTTTTATGAACCTGAAGAAAGTCGATGAGACAGGTTTTGTCTGAAACAGAAAAGCATTATTGTATTATAGTGCTATTTATTAATGGGAAAGCAAAATAATTTTCTCATCATGTAAATATTCTATCTCATTTCACTGAGCTAAGAAAGTATTTCAGGTATTTGGATTTAATTTGATTTATCCTCACATGAAATTAACAGCTAGAAATTAAGCCCTATCAATGAAACAAAGTGACAAATGTAAATCTATTTTAGTTCAGATATAAATGTACAATATTTTTCTTTGTGTAACTAAACTGTTTCGGTATAATTTCAAGTTATTTCATCTGTGGTAAAAAGCAAGAACTCTTGGATAGAAATAGCTATTTCAAAATTCTCTTCTTTGGGTTTCTTAATCTTTTACTGTATTAGCACAAGCATACTTACTGGAATGCTTACAGTATAGTGTGAAGTGACTGCAATAAAGTGAAATGTTGTAACTATGCTTGCATTTCATATTACTAAAGTTTCAATTGAATTATCACTTCAAATCTAAGATATACTAAGAATGACTGAAAGAGGACTTCCACACCAGAGCAATTAGGATGCCGTGCACTTTATCATACATTATTTATTATTGACAAACTTATTTAAGAACAGTATTTTTCACAGAACCTCTAGGCCTTTTGTTTGGGAAAAGGAGATGGTGTTATAAAAAAAGCCTAATCGAAACCCCAGATACAGATTTGCCTGTATTTTTAATGATTTGCATAAACAATCATCATTTTTCAATGATCAGCTGAACCTCATTGCCCGTTGTTGAGATGAGACAGACTTACTTCTCATCTACACACTAATACTTTGGAAAGTTTTAGAAGTTACACTTGCTGTTGCAGCTGTGAATCACTTATAAGTAGGTAATTATGCCAACTGTCTCATTCTATATACTTAGGCAGAGTTTGTGTTTCTCTGAAAATAAATTGAGTTGACCTGCAGTCTCCATTCAGTTGGTCACTGCTCTGTTATATTCCTATGTATAAGTTTGAGGAATTTAAAATAAAAAGTGACATCACCTTTTTCTTCTATTCAGTGAACAACTGAAATTTGGAAAAAGAAAAAAAAAAGGAAATACCACTTCTTAATGTATGGGGCGAAGTATTATTAACAAATTAATATTAAATAAGAATTTACAATGTTTATTTGTTATGACAAATTCCATAATTGCTTTCTGGCACCGTGAAAACCACAAAATTGTGTAAATAAAAATCTTTTGCATTTCACTCCCACTTAAAGTTAAATTTGGTAGTAGTCACATGTATGTCTCTTAAAGTTGACTAAACTCTTGACTTTGTTGCGGGCAATGTCAGTGCATTGATGTTTACCATACCTCTCAGATTGCTGCTGCCTGATCAGATCAGCTTGATCTTATCTTCTATGTGCTGTGCTTTAATTGATTTCCCAGCACAGTCCAAAAGATTGGGTGAAAAACATCTCAATTCGATTGCTTTGACCCTTACTCTAATTTCAGCTGAATTGAATTTAACTTTTATTCTCTTACAAACAGAGCATGATAAAGCTGTGGGTTTACTTATTTTATGAAACTAAACGGCAACTAATTATGATGCAAATAATCTGCAGAGCTAGACACTCTGTCTTTTTTAACTTTTATTTTATGTAGGACTGGAAAACTCACATTTTCTGAGTTGTAATTTTTCTTTTATTCTACTTACACACAGAGTTAAGACTGTCACATTAAGTAAAAGGAAAAATAGATGTCTGAGGAAGAAACTAAACATAAAAGTACAAGTCATGTCAGTATTATCTAAGCAAATTTACTTAAAGATAACATTTCACAAGAATTTTTTTTCCCAAATAGAAAATTATGCTTATTTTCTTTCATGATGAGAGATTTATTTTGATTTCTTTCTGCGATTCATATACCGTGTATGCAGTTTTAGTGTTTTCTTCCCTTTTTAGTACAATCCTAGAAAATTAAATAGAATAATATGTAGGAGGAGGGGAATTCTATTATTTAAGTAAATATCCTAGAAGGGAGAATCAAAGGGTGTTTTGTTTACTGGAGGATAATTTCTTGAATGTCATATCCATCTATGCAGAAATGATACATTCAAAATATGTATTATTCTTCTAAAGATGAAAATGGCTGTAGAATAAATTTTTGATATTTTTTTTTTCTGGAATTATAAATTGCCATTCGCTCTGCAGTCTCTTCATTGTTGTGCAACAATTCACCATTTAAAACACTTTTCAATTTTATCTATTTGTAAATCAGATGCATCAAAGCACTACTTAAGCATTTGTTACTCAACAGTGAATCTTGTTTTTTGCGGGAAATCTCAGTGTAACTCTAGCTGTGACTGGCTGTGCAATGATTGCTTATTGAGACTTTTAATAGGCTGCATGCTCTAGGTAATAAGGAAGGAAAAAAATTGGGTTTGAAAACATTTTTATTTTTCAAAAAGATAAAAGTGGTCAAATATATATCTTAATGCATAAAATATTCATTTGAAATCAAACAATTTGTCAAAGCTCTATATCATCCCAAAGAAGCTAACACTAATAATGAAACTTGCTGCTGCTTTTTTTTTTTTTTTTTTAATTAATTAATTGCAGCAAGCATTCAAGGTGAGCTGTGGAGTCTCTTATTTCTGAAGGAGGGAATTTCACTTTACAAGATGGCTTCTCAATTATATAAAGTTATAAAGACGTTTAGAATCCTTCTGGATTAAAACTCCTCATGATTTCATGCAGATCAGTAAATATTAAATGATTCAAAAGTAGGATTTGTTTTTATCTGAATAATATGACTGCAGTATTTAATATTTTATTAACAAATGTTAAATTCTTCCTTCATTTTTACTTTTTGAGAAGTACAAGAACCTTTACATTTCTCTGTAACTTAGTGCCAGGATAACCACAACCTACTGGCTTATATTGCGCTCCAGATCTTTAACTGGCCCATATCATGGCACAGCTCGGGGAAGCTGGAATTCTGCTCTATCACCTCTGATCTTGCAATGTCAGCCTTTGCATACACGGTTTTCAAACCTCATTATTATTAACCTGTTGTTTTCCACTGTTTTATCCAGTTTAAAGTGTATTTTTTGATTTTTGCAATTACATTGCTTTCTAGAAAAATGGAATTTTTGATGAAAAAAACATTTGCCTAGGGAAAGTAAGTTTGATTTGAACACTTCTAGTACTCATAAGCAATAACACAATTTTTAGTATTTCCAAAATATTCACCCATAAACTTAGCCAAAAGATTTAATCTGACATTACTAGTAATATATGAATATTTATATCTGGGATTGGCAGTAGAGGACAAATAATCTGTTCAGTAAAAATGATCATACTGTTGCTCTGCGGCCAGTGGACAATAGAAAAGAAAATGTAGTCTGTTGTGTCGTATTTATTTTGAAACTACCTTGCCCTGCATTTATTTTGAAGCTGGGTACCATCCACTGGGGAAATTGTAATAGGAACACAGCAGTTCACATAAATAGCAAAGAAGAAATAAAAAATGAAAGCCTGAACAATAATGCAAGAAACTTTCTTTCTGGACCACATTTGTTACATTCAGAGAAGGTGGACTCTTAATTAGCTTCTGTCAGCTAGCTGTTGATAAAATGGATGGGTTCTTTTTTAAATTACAATTAACTGATTCTGTTTCGAGATATATGTCATAGCTACCAATCAAGTTAAATATTTTGCATTATCAGGCATTACCTTTACAACGATGAAAATAAATTTACATGGTAATAAGTAATTTCTAAACTAGATTTCAGAAAAAACTAATTTTGCTATGAAGAATAGAAAATGCTGTCTTTTAATAGTTGTTACATATAGAGAGAAAAATGACAGCATGAAATGTAGGAATGAACATCTTAAAATGTTCATTTACATTCTGTTCTCAATATGAAGGCATTGCTAACAATAGAATTTGGCCTCAGATAATTAACATTAACCTTTTTGGTGGTTCCACCAGTCTATCATTTCATTAAACAGTTTGTTTTCATATTAAATTTAGTTTGGAATAGAGTTCTCCTGTTAGTTTCAGATTTTTCTAGAGGATTATCTAGTTTATCTGATTTTTGGGGTTTGTTGGTTTTGTGTGGCTTTTGGTTTTGGGGTTTTGGGGGGTTTTTGTTTTGTTTTGTTTTTGTAGTTGTTGGTTGTTTTTTTTTTAATGAGTCAACCTTAAAATTACAAGTGATTCACTTAAAAGCTTTCAGTAAAAAAATAGCATGAGGTGTTTTATTGCTTGTTCTCAGTATGCATATATTTGTTATAAATTGACTACATCTAATTTTCTTCTGACAACCTGTCTACTTACAGTTGATTTTGCTGTTAAGGTTTTCCTTGTTGATTAAGAAAAAAGTTGTAATTTATAAAAGAAGTATTATGTACACTGTTACATGATGTTTTTCTAGTTTTCTTCCCCAAGCAGTGATAAGTTCCTGCAGGATATATATTAAAAACACTTTTTATGGATGACATGTTTTGGAGGAGCTCTTGGAAAATTTTATTTATTATTTCTGATCAGACTTTTATAATGATATCTAAAAGTATGCTATCTTCTCTGAATCACCAGCAATAATTATCTCATATTTGTCTCCAATTTTTCCCAATAATCTAATACGTTTTCGATGTGGATCCAAAAATCATTATCCAGGAGTTTGTTTTTTTTTTTTAGTTTGCTACTGAGTATACTGAGAAATTTGAATATTGTGAAAGATATTATACATAGTATCCATATAATTCTGAGAAGTTTCTCAATAAAATTTACTACATAAAATTACATAAGACTGTTAACAGCATTAAGTTCCAACATAACCAGGTCCCAAATCCCTATTTGTTAATGTCTTTGTTATTAGCTAGAAAAATAGAAGTAGGATTTTTATTTGATTGCAGTTGTAATAAAATACCTCTGCTGAATTACTTTTAGATTTTTATTGCTTCTGTTTGGACAAATAACATTTCTTTTTTAATCCTTTGAATTAGTATTAAGTATTCTATGTGTCGAGCTACAGAATGTAGCAGTTTCCTCAGCTTGATGTCTTCTAAGTTGTGGTTCTGTAGAACACAAGTTATACACAGCTTGTAAACCTATTGACCTAACTGATAATTTAACTAATGTATTGTTTATACAGTGCAAAATAATTTGCCTACACATGTATAACCATTATTTGAGTTCCTGGAACTACCTTTAGTTGTCTTGATCCCTTCCATGTGAATCCAAGGAAAAGAACTGACCTTAAAGGTAGTCCTTTCTAGCAATATGTAATGTACTAGAGAAAATCCCTTTTCTAAAGTTATATTTTGGGGAATCATCTTTCATATTTAATGATAGCCTAAGTATACCTGAAACAAGACCAGAAAGTAAATGCTTTTTTAAATGAAAAAAACCCTCTGTGTGTGTGAGAACAGTTTCAAACAATTACATGAGAAGTTAGATATTCTTAAATCAGCAATTTCTAACTTATTATCAGGATCCTGATGTTAGACCTTTTATAATTACTCAGGACTTACCAGGTGTAAAAGTTAGGATCTGTACTGAGAGAAAAAATGAAGTATAATGTTACCCATCATAGTATAATAGCATTAACATTAATCATGATATCCTTAATTCTGCAAAATGTGGAGATCACTTCCCTAAAAATGTTCTTCATACAATCTGGGTTTGAGGATCTAAAAGTAAAAATGAAAGCCTTAGTTTCAGGGGAAAGCACCACAATAAATCAAGAATTTAATTTCTTGATCATATTATTTAAGTTTGAATAGGCTTGTTATTTATAAATAACTAGGAAATAAGTTGATAGATGCAGAAAAAGGCTGAGGCAGACTTGAAAACCTATAAAGCTTGTTGTCTGTTGTTCCATAAGTAACTTTTTTGTTAAGATTCTCCCCTTGGAACTTGTTTTCTTCTGGTCACCAAAAGGAGCTCAAAAGATGTGTGTTAACTTCGCTAAAGGAAGCACATGGAAAATCCAGTTTTGCGTCTCCCTGATCTTGTCATAAATTTCCATAATTGAAATTAATAACTCTGGTTGGTTGAAATTATGAATGCAGCTGCTTTACTGAATCTGGTAAATGCTTAAGATAGCATTAATCCTGGCAAGTAGATATCCTTAATATATGCTTAAACTATTCTAGGCAATAGGTGAGTTTTGCCTCTTTCAGATTTCAGTTTGTGTATACATACATATACTTATTTTATTATTTTTTTTTTAATGCATCTGAGAAGTTTATAAGAAAGGTAAGTAATATCTTATTTAATTCAAAACATTTTTTGAAAATGTTTTTGACCAAGAAGAACATTTGTTCCCTTGGTAGATATTTGGTTATTGCTGTAGCTACTTCATTATTTACAATTTTTGCCCAGCATATACATTTCATAATTTGCTTGAATATTTGCACTTATTACTTGAACTGCAGTAGCTTTTCATGTTGTTACATAATTCTGATCGTAGTCCACGCAGTGCAGTGGACTTCTGACCTTCTCTGTCACGTTCTGTAGGCAGCTCAAGGGGGTGGTCACAGAACCCTGCTGTATGGCCATGCTATACTACTTCGACATTCGTTTAGTGAAATGGTAAGTGAAAGAGCACTTGCACAGAATGAGAAACATGAAACTCAAATAAACTTCTTTTTATCGAAATAAAAAAAGTATAAATGTGAAAGAATGTTCTTTCTAAGTTCTGTTCTGCACTAGATAAAAAAATAGCTTATGGTGTCTCAACACAATGGAAGTGGCCCTTATATTTTAAATTCAGATTCTTCAATCCATTTCACTCAGAAATGTAGCTGAAAAGCTCCTTTAGCCAGGGATTATTTCTGTGTCCTTAAGGAATCCATTTGAAATTCTATTAGCAAGTTGCTGCTATCGCAAATGAATTTGTCATGATATGTGTTATTTTTTCCATCATATTTTATAAGGTAAGGTGTTCCTTTTAACATCCAATAGTTCCAAAGGACTATGCCCACAAACATGCTATTTTCAGACTACCTCGTGTAAATTTTGTTTCTGCTACATTGTACAACTGGAAAATTTTAACTGTTCTCGATCTTTGACTTATTAGGTCACATGCAAGTATATCTAATAGGAGGTTGAAGAAATGAGAAGTCAAGAAAACATCTTCCCTCCTTTTTCCTGTACTGGAAGACTCTACATTAGTCTTTAAACTCTGTTACTTATGTTTATGAACCATACAAATTGTAGTTGCTTTGATATACCAGAATTGCAAGTATGATTACTGCCTTTTGGTACGTTCGCTATGTTTTCAGAAGGCAAACTTCTTACCGTAATGCTGTAACAAGACGTTTGCCTGTTCCTCTCTGATGAGCTAAGTGAAACTTTGGAAGGTAGGAGCTAAACTGCACCGAGAAATACGTGCTGGTGTAGAAAAAGATTTTTTTTTTTGTTTTAAAGTCAGGAAGAGCTTGTATACAAATAATGTCATGGTTAACTCATTTTAAAAAATTAAGCACATGCTGAGAGTGAGATGGAGCAATGTGAATGTATTAATTTGGCATGTGTGTTAATGGATACTGTTGGGTTTTGTTTTTTTCAATAATTTTACTGTTTTGCAGTATTTGACATGTTTAACATCATCAAGATCCCAGACGGATAAACTTGCATTTGATGTGGGACTACGAGAAAATGCAGCAGGTATGGCAAGTTATTTTTGAAGGACAACGTGTCACACATTTTTGGTTTTAGAAGAGGTATTGAGATTAATGGCACTGTAAGCTTATCAATGTCATGATTATGTGTTTACTAGAAACTAGATGACTGAAAAGAGATTACAACTGTCAATACTGATGACTTTCAGTAAATCAGCTGACTTTGTGTAAGCATGTGAGAGTGCCTTGCAATTAAACTGAGTTACCACAATTCAAATAAAACATGTGATAATGGTCAAAGTGAAAAATTTCCATTGAATAAAATAAATTTGATGCATTTTTTTCCTATTTGTATGGTTTGGCACTTTCATTAGAATTAGAGTACAGAAAAGCCATGTATCAGTGCATTCACAGTATACATTGTAACCATGCAACAGAAGGAGTATGCAACTTGTAATGCAGGAAAACAAAAAAATGTAATAAGCACATTGCTAATAGAGCTAAAGAAAAATAAAAGCATAAAATGGATCAAAATAATAATGAGACAGAGTGGAAAAGACACAACACAAACAAGAAATGACAAGAAAGCTTTAAAATCTAATGAATAGGTTTCTGGGAGTACTGCCAGTAACAGTGCTGCTGACAGAAATATAGTAAAAAAAATAATTGTGCTCCCATGAAATCAAATATAAATTTTGAGATACCATTGGGAGCTACGTTAAATGAATTTAAAAGCAACGCACCCACAGAGAGCAACAAATAGGTTTATGTGCTCCCGTATACATAGTAGGAATAGTTACTGAAAGTGATGAGTACTCATCAGAAAGTAACAGGTGACCCTGCAGTACCTACACCCAGACACATACCTTGAAGGGAAAATCTAAGTACCTGTATGCACACCTCATTAATATGAAGCTTCAAATAAAGAAATGCCAGTTGTATTAATATTAACCTATGCTTTCTATTGTTTTTTTTTTTTTTCATTATTTTGAAAACAAAATCAAAATAGACTAATTGATGATGGAGAGGCACTACCAGTGTAGGTGTTAAAGTGTTTGTGGACCATGGGCTTTGAAACTTCCTTTCCAGATGACTCTCATTGTCTACATGACCTTCTGTTTTGAAGGAGTGAAGTTTGTCTTTCAGGTGTTTGTAACCATACAGAAGGTGGTCTCAGATAGATAGATATTAGAAGCCTGTTTGTTGATTATATCATCAGTTGCTGCTTGGAGATGATTTTCTTTAGGCATGTTGATAAAAGGAATGTATGTGTTCTGTCTCTCTGAAAATTGTTTCAGTGAATTCTGTCTTTATAATTTTATAGGCTTTTTTTCAGAGTTATTGTGCATGTGTCTGCTTGTGCCCATGAAGTTTTGTAACAAATATCTGTAGTTGTCTCATATTGATATTGCTTAACTGTACAGATATAAAAAGACCCTTGTACATGTAGGTAAGATATAAAAAGCAACACATAAAAGGAATGCTTAGTTGTGTTTCTGCACAGAGGATTTTGATAACCTATAGTAACATCACTTCTTCTTGCTCTACTACCCCACCCATGAAACTGCCTTATTGAATCAATATTTCAGCTGCAGGAAGCATTCTTCACCTAGCAGGTACTGAGTGAAAAGCCACGGGATATTTAAAATTATTCTCTTTTAAAGATCTAGCACTTTACGCTTTTAGGGATGCAACTTTCACTTATTGTCTTCTTTATAATTAGTTTCATAACCTTCAAATTTTGTTTTGAGGAGTTTTTACATGAAATTTCTTAGCTGATCACACAGACTTTTAGCTTTGTCTTATGCTACCAATTTTGCTTTTGTTTTATTTTCTCCCACTTTTCATTGCCCAGTGAGAAAGTTGTATTCAATTCATTTTCTTCAGGGTCTTAACTAAACCCTGAAGGATGTGAAATTTTGGAATGAATTGGGTAATTTTCCCAGAATCGGTGTATGTGTGCAAAGTAATCTGGAACCTGATATTTAATGTGTAGGAAATGTTCTATGGTTGTCGCCCTTAGGCTTGGCTATCCTGTAGTCATATAGTCTGTAGTGCTAATGGAACTGCTTCCAGAACTGATATTTGTAGTGTAGCAATATTGTAAAGTTATGGAGAATATTTGTTTCAAAATTCTGTATTCTACAACATAAATGTAGCTTAGAGTGGAAATGATACAGAAGATTGTGAATTAAATACAAACATTAAGCAAAAGAACACACAAAAGGTGATAATTAAGACTGAGGTAGCTGTCAGCAATTTACTGGCAGTGAGAGTCTTGAAGGGAGGGCAGTTCTGAGCAGTGTTTTCTACGTGGTTAGTTGCTTTAAAAAAACATGAAAAGGGAAATATCAGCTTCAGTGATGAAAAAGATTGGTTGTCAAAATTTTCAAGGAAAAAGAAAAAAATCAAATGGATTGAAAAGAGGAATGAGGTGGTTTTATAAGGTGAATGTTTTATAAGACACAATTCTTTATTATGTTATTTTAATGTTGTATAAAGACATCCTTCAATTTCTTGTTGTCTGTTTTGTACAGCCTTGCTAAGTATCTCTGTCCTTTAGGTGAGGCATGCTGGTGGACAATACACCCGGCTTCTAAACAAAGGTCAGAAGGAGAAAAAGTTCGAATAGGTGATGACCTTATCCTGGTCAGTGTGTCCTCTGAAAGATACCTGGTAGGTTGGTTGTTTAGCAAGTGGACACATGGTGGGAAAATACAAAATGCTGTGATTAGTTGGGGAAAATGGTTGGGATTCTTATAAATTATTTTTTTTTTAAATCTAGGAAATAATGCATGGTTGTAATGCACTTTTTTTTTTTCCCCCCCCTCTAGAACAAGTTTTTTTGCATGCCTTTATCCCCAGATGTACTTCAGCATTCTCCATCTTGGGGAGTTTTTATTTCTGTAACTGTGGAAGATTTTTTAGCTGCAGCTGGCGTCTGCTGATTAGGTTTAGAAAAGAGTTCATTTTAAAAGCAAGTGACTACTCAATTGAAAACAATATTTGTATATTTACTTTATTATGTATTTCTATTCTGTCAAGAAATTAATATACTAAGTATTTTTAAGCGCATAAATTTCACTGTTTCCTGTTACTGTCGTCTTATTTCAGCATCTCTCCATATCAAATGGAAGTATTCAAGTGGATGCCTCCTTTATGCAGACGCTGTGGAATGTACATCCTACATGCTCAGGAAGCAATATTACAGAAGGTTTGTCATTTTATTTATTTAGAACTGTATATACTTTAGCTTGCTTTATATTGCTTTTCATAAAAAGTGAAAATGAAAAAAAACGCCACCCTCAGAGCATCAAACCAAAGAGCTTAATGAAAATAAAGGAAATTAGTAAAGGAGAGAAGAATAACAGAAGGGAAAAATGTAGAAATGCAGATCCATCACCCAGATTAACTGAAGAAAAGCTGAATAAGCACTGTAACTTTAGAATAGCAAAGCATAAAAGGCTGCATGACAAATTAAGACTGACAGAACAACAGATGAGTTTATTGTCTTCAGTTTAATTTTGGGGAGTAGGAGCTGCAGAATAAATAAAGCCAGTAAACTTAAATTTCATATTGCATTTTCAATCACCCTGTAACAGAGATAACAGAAGAGAGATAAAAGTACATGCAAAATGGAAAGCAGGTTCGTATTTCAGTCTCTTAGTCGTGTTTTTTAAGGATATTTGCTCAATACCCTTTCTGGATCTCACAGCCATGCTTCCTTGGTGTCTCTTTGTAATACTCAATGAAAATGAGCTCTCTAAATGCATCCTCTTAGTCAGCCTGAAATCCCACACCACAGGGTCGGTCAGGATTTCTCTTTAGGTACTTGACTGCATTGTACAACCATGTTTGAGAAGCATCACCTTATTCTGTTTGAGAAATGTCTTATTCTGTAACAAAAGGCTCGTCCACTCAATACTGCTGCTTAGTTCAGTGCCGTACTCCGTCATTAACACTGTCATAACCAACATTGTACTTTACCTCTTCTGTTCTCTGTTTCAAGCATCAGCTCTCCGTGTTCATGAATGGTAAATGGCTTGAAGTCAGGACCATTTTGTATCGCTTGGCCCTAAAACTAATCACTTATGATATAATAATATACAGGATCATAGGAAAAAATTGAGCTATAATGGACTTGAAAGAGACATTGCATTTCCCTGGGATCAGCTATACTAAGTCTTGATAGAAATAGATTACCCTGGTGCTAAAGACTAACAGTCACTAGGCATAGCTGAACTGTGGTCAGGCCCTTTTAATCCCAAGTGGTTTAAATCAGCATCCCACAGTGTTCCTGTGCACTGGCCCGTAAGAAACTCATCTCACTCTAGGTTTTCATTTTAAGAGCATACGGGATATGGATTTTCCTTTTAATACTGTCTGATTGCTTTCTTTTGCAAGAAATGTATAATGCTGGAGCTGTATATTTATAAATGGCTGTCTGGTCCTTTGCAATCATGGGTCATAAACAGAATAGAGGTTAACTCTTGAAAAGTCCCCGTGTTCTTAGGTTTCACAGGTAAAACAAAACCAAGCAAACAGAAAAGCCATCCTATAGTAAAATTAAAAACTTGTAACAGATGACAAACATAATGAGCTATGCAGAGAGATCATGGAAGATCAGTGGTATATTAGATTTCTGTAACAGCAGGGATTTGGCAGCTGAATTTCTTAAATGCTTATAGAATCACAGAGTGGTTGAGGTTGGAAGGGACCTGGTTCAATCCCCTGCTGAAGCAGGGTCACCTAGAACACGTTCCCCAGGATTATGTCTGGAAAGCTCTTGAATATCTCTAAGAACGGAGACTCCACAACCTCTCTGGGCAACCTGTGCCAGTGCTCAGGCACCCTCACAGTAAAAAAGTGGTTCTTGATGTTCAAATGGAACCTCCCGTGTTTGAGTTTGTGCCCATTGCCTCTGGTCCTGTCACTGGGCACCACTGAAGAGAGCCTGGCTCTGTCTTCTTTACACTGATGAGATCCCCCCAGAGCCTTCTCTTCTCTAGGTCAAACAGTCCCACTTCTCTCAGCCTTTCCTCACACATGAGATGCACCAGTATCATAATCATCTTAGTGGCCCTTTGCTGTACTTGAAATCCCTTTACTGTGCAGCTCAGAATTGAACACATAATCCAAAATGGCATTTAAAAAAAAAAAAAAGGATAGGGCATAGTAAGCAGAGAAGTAGGTTTTGTACATGTCAGGTTTTTTCCCCAGCTACTTAGGCTTAGGTTTAGCTGTATATACACTTCTCAGAATGATTTCCATGAGGGATGATCATATGTCAAAAGACTTAGCAGCCTAGCTCAAGTTGAATGGACAGACTGAGAAAGTGGGATTTCCTGAGTCTAAGATTGGACTGGAAGTCTCACAACAGACTTTCTGTAATGTTTGATGTACTTTCGATGGAACATAAATGTCAGGGAAGTACATTTTTTTCCCATTATTTCTTTGCTTTGACCTTTGTGTTAATTGGCAAAAGGATAATTGCCAGTTACCATTTTCCTAATTTACAATTTTATATTGAATCAGTTGCACAGTGTGAAAGTTTCCCTCTACCCTACCTCCTTTATGTGTTTGTTCTTTTAAAAGGCATTAATTTCACTTACAAGGTCAGAACAGTTTGGACTGAGGGTCTGATGAATCATTCTCCTCCTACACCATTTTTTTCTTTTCTTTTTTCCTGTGAGGAAAAGTGCCTGGTTTTGACCTGTAGTCTTTGTGTTAAATGGGTTGGAAAGTTAGCTTCCATTAAGCTTAATCTTCAGAACTGCTAAGTGTTTTTCTGTCCTCCGTCTCCTGCTGCTGCTGTGCAGTTTTGATTTTGACACAAATTATAAACGTCAGAACAAACTGATGAACTCACCAAATTATTTTGCATTGAAAACATTTAAATTGTATTAAGGGGGAGGAAACTGTGGTATTATATATTTTATTTGGCTTTTACCTAAAGCCTTCAATTTTCAAAGCAATAATTGTTGCAGAAGTTTTTGTTTTCCTTTTCCTTCCCAGAATACTAATTTGATTTTTAAATGTTATGAGATTGCTTTGTTTGGGTCTTCATTTTCAGAACAGATTTAACTGAAACAGGTACTAAAAAAAAAAAAAAAAAGTTGTCATACTAAATTCTTGTTTAATTTTTTTGGAGGGTGTGATTTTCATATTGTTAACGTCGAAGCTAATGAATAACTGTGCTGCTTCTACAGGATATCTTCTTGGTGGGCATGTAGTACGTTTTTTCCATGGCCATGATGAGTGTTTGACAATTCCATCTACAGATCAGAATGATTCACAGCACAAGTGAGTGGTGGTGCATTTTTATACGTTTCCTTCTCTCAAAAAAGAAATTGTTGATTGTCAATTGAATTTGAGGTTAGATAAAGACTCTTTTTAGCAATTTTTAACTAGGCAGTGACATTGTTACAAGAAGTCGAGACCTACTAAGCAGAAAATCAGTCATTAATTCTTTCATTGCTGAAATTCAAGTAATTGATTTCCACTGAGATATCAGCCTGTTATGTTGTTTGTCTTTAACGTGTACTACTATAAGCAGAGGTAAGCAAGCATTAGCGGGGAAGATGGTAAATTTTTTTTAAAAGCCCTAAAAAAATCTCTGAAATTTATGTATTTATATTCCTAAAATAGGAGAATAATGTGAATGCTATATTGACATTTTCAAATGTGTGATAGTGATACAATGTGCTAAGCCTGGTGATTTAGAATTGTCTATCTTTTGGATTTGTGAGCTGCATAATAGCCATAAGGCCAAGTTCGTACTGTGTCATAGTTGTGGGAGTCATGTTTACATTATAGAAAACAAAATGAATACTTGAAACAAAACCCCAACCAAATAGGAGTAGGAGAAAGTGCTGTAGAAAATGATTGTGTTTATTTCCATCTCTTTGTTTAATCAGTGCTATGCATTCCATTAGGACTATTAAGTAAGCTAAGTTAGAGAAGAGTGATAATTTCTCTTTTCATAGAACAGACATTTAATTTTCTGAAGCTTTTGGTAGAGAATGCTCCTTAACAATTCATACAGTGACTATTCTCTGCCAAGAATTTTAAGGTCTTTTATTACAAGCCAAGTGAAAATACAAGGGATGGACTTAATGAATATCAAAAAGGAAGGCTTGGCAAAAACTCAGAATAAGATGGATGGGTAGAAGGAAGGAAGGAAGGAATCAAGGAGAAGATGAAGAAAATGTTGTGTGAATGCTCTTGTGAAAAAGCAGAATTTTTCTTTTACTTGCAGTTTTGTTACTGTAAGAGCAGGTGACTAATGCTAGTACAGTGTTGCATATAGAACAAGCTGGGAAAGGGTTAGAGATTTAAGTAGTATAGGATTTTAAGAATTATAAAAGATGAACAGGGACATAGCTATGGCATTCTTTCAGTGAAGGAATGGTTGAGTTGGGGCAAGGAGAAATGAAGGAGGTCAAAGAGAATGGAAATGAATTAGTAGTTATGAGCTTAGCTAGGAAAAGGTCATTAGAGTCTGCCAAAAGTAACATCAGTAAGATGAATGGGACCAAGGAGGATCTAGGATGAAAATGGAAAACAAAAACTCCGGACAGTTATTGTGTTTTCAATATATTCATAGAATCATAGAACAATCCAGGTTGGAAGGGACCTCCAAAGATCATATTCATAGAGTCTGGAAATGAAGATGAACTGATTACTATTTTTTTTGTTGTCATTTTGTATTTTGATTCTAGAGTATCAAAAACATTATTATGGAAGACAAGATGTGTAGGAAATGCTGCTACCTTTGCTATGAAGAAAATATATTCTTACTCTTATGGTGCACTATCATTTCAAAATTTTTGAAATTGCATGTGTGTTCTTAAATGTGACTCCTAAATAATGTACAGATGTAGATCTACAAGTCCGTTATCTTATACAGATATTGGATGCAAATGGTTTGTCCCACTTCAGTAGACTTCATGTTAATACATAGATTCTTCCTGGAATGTATTGGTGTTGATCAAGAAGCAGAACATCAAATAAATTAAAACCTCTAAGTGTTCTCAATAGAAGAAAAGTTGTAGAAACACTTGCTCAGATGAGAACAACACAACTTTCATTTCACAAGCAGAGTTCCACGTCCCATAGTTGCACGAGAGCAGCACTAAATAGATACATATTTTTTTCCCCTGTTAACTGTTGAAAAAGGAAAAGAATTTGACAATCTGAAAAGCCAGTTAAAATTCTGCATTTCAAAATGCTACTTTAATTCATAACAAACAGCTAGGTTGTGACATTTTTATGTATGCATGTGCAGCATTCAGTCAAGTTTGCCAGAGCAGGAAGGCGGAGTTTAAATTCCCTTCCTGCATATTTTTTCAGATACATAAGTACAAGAGAAGGTCTAGCTCTTGTGCATGCTAGGGTGGATTAGTCCTGTTCATGTAGGAACACATGTAAGGAAGTTTTTCATCTTTCAGTAGCCATTCATGTCTTGTCATCGAAGCACCAGAATCTGTATAACCTTTTTCATATATAATGGATATAGGAAATACAATGGATAATAGGAAGGGTCTTGATCTGAAACTCAGGATACATAGAAACTTTTTTTTTCTTAAATAATAAAAGCCTTTCTTTATTGTACTGCTAGATTTTTCATTTGATTTTTTTTTTTTGTGAAGTGTAAACAAAATTCCTTCCTAAGAACCAAATTAAAAGTTGAACTTTTTTTTTTTTGTGTGTGTGTACCCTAATCACATTAGGATACAGTCATTGTTCATTTTGTGTTTTTCTGTGTTTTTCAGTTTGACGGTATTTATGGTTTGGGGTCAGTTCTAGTTATTGTAATTAAACAAGGAGCAGTGGAACTGTTTTCTTCATCTTTATTCACCCCTTCTTTCTACTGGGAAAGGGAAGAACAGGTTATATGAATTACTGTTCTCACCTCTGACAAATATACAATAAAATTTTTCATTAGAAATTGGTGAAAACATTTAGGAATACGCATGAATCAATCTTGCTGACAGGTTCAACCAACCTCTCCTTTAGGTATCAGTAAATAAATACATAAACAGAAAGAACCACTGCCAGAGAAGTTTAGAAATACGAAAAAGGCTGTCTGCTTATATTGCTCTAAACAAAATTACAGACCCCAACAAACTTTTGGAAGTTTGCTGCACTTTTGAAAAGAAGCTAGTGAATCAGTTTGTTTTGCATCTAGAATAATTCTTCTTCTATGTCTGAACCCTTCTGTTGCTCAAATTATGAAGGAATGTACTGCAGTGTATTACAATTATTAAGAATATGTTTTTCTTATTGGTGTCTGCCTGGAGGACTCAGTTTCTGATCACACTCATGGTTTACACATAGATATTGTCATGTCACTCTTTCAAATGAAGAAGTAGGCATAGCAAAAAATAATTGTGTCATCCTCTGGTACTTGTTTGCTGTATGAACAGAATTCTGTTCAGTTAGAGCATCCACTGAGTATTTGCTACCAGTAACAGAACATTTCAATTTTTTGTATAATAATGGTGCAATAAACCTTTACGTACTACAGTATGGAGGACAGCTTGGGAGTCACACTCTGAAAGCAAGGCCTTCACTCTAATATAGTTTCCCAATGGCATTAATATTGCAGATAGTAGCCTAAAAATGTGTAAAATAAATTAAATTTACTTAGTTAAGAGATTCTTAAAAGATTTTAAAATAGGCAAGATGCACATCAAACTTCCCAAAATATTATTATAACTAAATAATTTGACTAGATGTTAATTATTTCCTAATTTTTTACTGTTGTGGAATGTAACAAATACAATTATTATTTAAAATTATTATTATTTTAAAAAAAAGTTTCTCTGTATCCTGAGTTTCAGATCAAGACCTTTCCTACTATCCATTTCCTATATCTATTATGAATGAAAAAGGTTATATAAATTCTGGTGCTTGGATGACAAGACATAAATGATTACTGAAAGATGAAAAACTTTCTTACATGTGTTCCTGTGAACAGGACTAATCCACCCTAGTTTGTATTTGTTTGTATTTGATTACTGCGTAGAATGTCAGCTTCAGCGCTAAAACATGTCGCTAACCCCTAGCCAGTAATTCAGGAAAACTAGATTACGTGAAGGGCTGAATCCGTTCGCTTCCTGGTTTTTATTTCTCTGAGTTTCCTAAAACTAATATACAATTTTATCTGTATTATCTGTTTTGTAAGGATTATAAGACAAAATCATTTGGTTTATTACCACCATTTTTTGTCTTTTAATAAGAACGTTAGAAGTAATTTGAGGAATGAAGCCTCTGATGTATTCATGTAGATGATCATTAATGTATGCAAATGTGTACACTTCTTTTAATATTGTGTTTATATGTATTTAAAAGCATTAGTAATTTAGATTAATCTCTTGGGAACTGTATGAATTACGTATTTTTATGACTGATTAAGTAACAGCAAAAGTTTGAACTCAGCCACTTTGAACGCAAAGTATTTTATCAGTTCCCGAGAGAGAACAGGTTAATGGCAATAGCCTGAGTTACCTGGGGCACTCGGATTGTGGATC